ATCGGTCTATAGTTTGTTGCTTCTTCTTTGTTTTTCTGTGGCTTAGGTATTACAGAGATAATAGCTTCTTGCCATGTTGGTGGTATTTTATTGTTGGTCATAATCCAGTTGTATGTTTTATGCATTATTGGTACAAGTTCCTGCTTTAATTTTTTATACCATTCTGCTGGGTATCCATCGCTTCCTGGTGCCTTATTTGTTTTAAGTTTATTTATTGCTTCTATTATTTCTTTTTCCGTTATTGTCTTTGTAATATTCTTATTCTGTTCTGTCCCTATTGATGGTAAATCTAAATTTTGTAAGAATTCTTCTATTTTGTTATTGTTGCTTCCTAGCGGTTGCGTATATAGTTCCTTATAATATTCCCTAAATATTTCTTCAATCTCTTTAGGTTCGTGTGTTATTTTTTTTGTCTTCGGGTTGCATATTTTACTTATGTTATTTTGTTCTTGTTGTTTTCTTATTCTTCTTGCTAGTAGCCTCATTGCTTTCGGCCCTGCTTCATAGTAGTTTTGTTTTAAATATTTTGCCTTAATTTCTATTTCATTTTGGTGCATTTCATTTATTTTGTTCCTGATGTTTTTTATTTGTTCCCGTGTCTTTGTTTCTGTTTTCTGTTTGTCTTTCTTTTCCATTTCTTCTAGTTCCTTTGTAAGTTTTTCATATTGTTTAGTCTTATCCCTTTTCATTTTGCTTGTAATCGCAATTAATTTCCCTCTGATCACTGCTTTCATCGCATCCCACAGTATATCTGGCTGTACTTCTCCATTATCATTTTCTCTCAAATATTCCTTAATATTTTTACTGATCTGTGTTGTCATTATTGTATTATTAAGTATTCCTGTATTCATTTTCCATAAAGTTTTCCTTTTAATTTTGTTGTTTAGTTGAATTTTGAGATATATTGCATTATGATCTGATAGATCCGACCCGCCTATTTCGCATTCCTTTATTTTATATCTATGTTCTTTTTGTATTAAAAAATAGTCAATTCTCGAGTAGGTTTTATAATGAGCAGAGTAGTGGGTATAGTTCTTTTGCGCTGGATTAATTTCTCTCCATATATCTATAAGTCCCATTTCTTTAGTTATTGTATTTATTAATTTGGTTAGTGTTTTTTTATATGTTGCAGTACTTGTTGTATCGAGTTGGGAATTCATTATTAAATTAAAGTCTCCCCCACATATACAAACCCCCTCCATTTCCATTGCTAACATATTTAGTATATATTCATAAAATTGTTTATTACTTTCTGGTGGTGCGTATACATTGGCTAGTGTTACCATCTCATTTTCTATCTTTCCTTTGATTATGATAAATCGGCCTTCTTTATCTCGGACCTCTTTTACATTTTCATAGTTCTGTGAATTAGATATTAAGATTGCCACCCCTCTTTTCCGGCTATTGGGACATGAACTATAGTATGTATTTTTAAACCCAAGTTTTTTAAGTTTTTCGTGTTCTTTCTGTGATAGGTGGGTTTCTTGTAGAAAACTAATTTGTATTTTTTCTTTTTTGATTTTATTTATTATTTTCGCTCTTTTTATTGGATTGCCCAGCCCATTTACATTCAGTGACATTATTTTGATTTCCTGGTTTTTATCATACATCATTTCTTATTCTTCTTGTGTCTTGCCCTTTCTCTCAGTAAGTTCTCCCTTTTGTCCTTGCAGATGGCCTTTCTAGTCTTGAGATACATAAAAAGAAAGAAAAAAATAAAAAAAATACTGATACAGAATAAGTAAATAAAGTACCCCCGCCCCCCTTTAAGAACCCCCTCCTTGTAACAACCAAACTTAGAACCTGTTGCTACAAGGTAACTGCCTTTGAACTTCCATGTTGAGATGCCCTCTTGTGACTCTCTACCCCTCCTCTGGGGGGAATGCCTTCCTTTCCAGAAGGGCCCCCCTACCTCCCTTTCTGTCTCAGTCATTCCACTCTAAACCGTGCCTAGTGACACTCGTTAACCAACATTTTTAAACTTTTTACCTTTATACATGTTCGCCTCATTTTCCTAGAGCGATACTTCCCCTTATTTATTCCCCTCCCTCTGTCTTTTTTCTCCTAAGTTCGTATTCTTGCAGTCGTTCTCTGACTCTGTTCTTCAGCATTCCGTTATCCCCCACCTTTTTCCAGCTCGCCGGCCCCTTCGCATTAGCCTCTTTATTCTTTTGCATTTCTTCCTCTGCCATCTGGAGTCCTTCCACTGCGCATCCTCGTGACTTCAGGTCCCTCACCGCCTCCTCCGCGCTGTTGTAGCTCTTCATTCCGTCTTCCCAGAAGATGCGCATTTTAGTGTAGGGCGTTTGGAATCGAATTTTCATGCTTTTTAATTTCTTCTTTATTGGGAGATACGCCTTTCTCTGTTGCAGTACTTTTGCAGTGTAATCATGATCGAAATACACTCCCTCTCCCTCAAACATAATTTTTTTCCCCTTCTCCCAGGCTTTGTTCAGAATCATGTCTTTCGTTTTACTTTGCTGGAATTGTATTATTATGGATCTGGGTGCCTGCCCTTCCTTCGGCTTGGGCGCCTGCGCTCTGTGTGCGCTTTGTATTTGCAGATCTTCTTCTAATCCTAGTTCTTTCTTGAGCCATTCTTCTATTGTCTCCTTCAATTCGGATGGTTTAACTTCCTTACTTTCTTTGATTCCATACACCCTTAAGTTGTTCCTCCTTGCTCTTGCTTCGATGTCCTCTAGTTTGTCTCCGATGTATTTCTGTTGTTGTAACATGTGCTGTATGGCCTCGTTAGCTTCACAGCTCCATTGTTCGAGCTCTTCCGTTCGTGTTTCTCCGTCTTGTATCCTTTTCGTTTGTTCTTTAATTTCTTTGTCCATATTATCAAGTAGCTTATTAATATCTCTCTTGAAGTCGGTCAACTCCTTTCTCATTTCTGTTGTAATCTCCTCTTTGTTCGCCTGGAGTTCGGTCTTCATTTCGGCAGTTAGTGTTCGTATCTGGAGGCTAATGCTATCCAAACTAGCTACTCGTGTTAGCTCTCCTGTAGCCCCCACTGTTAGCATCTGCTTTGTGTCCTTACTTGGATCTTCTGGCTGCTTTTTGCTCTTCCCTTTATTCGTTGTACCTCCGCTCATTGTTGCTTTTCCTTTTCCTTATTTTTCCCTTTACAGTTCAGGCGTTTTCTAGTTCGTGTTTATGTTGGTTATACGGAGCTCTTGTCACTTGCGTCTGTTTCACTCTGTCGCCATACCGGAAGTCGCCTAAAACATTTTCCTTTTCTTTCTGCTGGCACATTTAACCACTGGTTGGTCAGGTGCTGCGTGCGGGAACGTGCACTTGTCAGATAACTCGCATCCTTTAACTCTGCAGTCAGAGACGCTAGGGTTTCCTATTTCTCCAACCTGGTGTCCCAGAGCAAAGGGAACCCCAAGGTGCTGTTTAACACCATCAGCAGCATCGTCTCTCCTGCCTCTCCTACAGCCTCCATCCACTCTGTTGCAGACTGTGAGAACTTTCTGTCTTTCTTTGTGGACAAAGTCAATAAGGTTAGATCTAGCATCTCTCCTTCAGCCTTATCGCCGCCTCTCCCGACTCCAACCAGGCCCATCATCCTAGATAGCTTTGCTCCTGTTTCTTTGCCTGAGTTAACCAAACTAGTTAACTCTATGAAGACCTCTGCATGCCCCCTCCACATCTTACCCTCATCTTTGTTTAAAAGTGCTTTTCAGTCCATCGGTCCCAGCGTGCTCTATAGGCCCGCCAGGCTTTGCTTGGCCACCTGCCAGGCTAAGAGCCATGCCCCACCCCCTCCCCGACCCTACCGTGTCTGCTGACACGAACAACGCAACGACACTATGTGCTAACCCCCCCCTCGACCCTAGCTCTCATGGAGGAACGCTGCGGGACGCCTCCTCCTGACTCACCTCCTCCTGGCTCCTCCCCCATTACCTTATTTTATCATTTTTCGGTGTTTCCTTTGTCGGAGCCCTCTGCCCCGTGGGCGGTGGTCGGCTATGGCAGCCCGGGTGCTTTCTGGGTGTGTCTGGGTGGAGGTGGTGGTCTCCGCCCTCCCTGCCCTGGGCACCCTGTGTTGGTGCCTCGGCTGCTGTTGTCGGGGCAGCTGGCTCCCCTGATGGTGTTTCCTCAGCTTAGCTTGTCTAGCTCATCTGAACTCAGCCCAATATGTACTTAAGCATGTGTGTGTGTGTGTGTGTGTGTGTGTGTGTGTGTGTGTGTGTGTGTGTGTGTGTGTGTGTGTGTGTGTGTGTGTGTGTGTGTGTGTGTGTGTGTGTGTAACACCTATGTGGGGTATTATTGTCTTATTGCTTATATATTTATGGGGAGGGAGGGAACGTGGGGTATATTGGGTCATGTTATTTTATAAAGCACTTTGAGTTGCGTTTATTGTATGAATTGTGCTGTATAAATAAAGTTTGGTTTGATTTGATTTGAAGGTCACTCCAAAGCCTGAACAGGTCAGTTTAAAGGAGACCACTGAGTCCACCGATCTCAGGCTCAGGGGGAGAGAGGTCCAGAGTCTGGGGGCCACAGCAGCAGATGATCTGTCACCTTTGACCTTTAGCCTGGTGCTGCACAACCAGTAGGCTTTGGTCACTGGACCTCAGGGACCTGCTGGGGGTGTAGGGACTGAGAAGATCACCAATGTAAGATGGTGCTTGTCCATGTAAGGCCCTATAGACCAGAACCAGGATCTTGAAATGAACCCTGAAGTTGACTGGCAGCCAGTGAAGCTGGAGGAGAAGCGGGGTGATGTGGGTGTGTTTGGAGGACTTGGTCAGAAGCTGAGCACAGGCGTTCTGAACCACCTGTAGACGGTTCAGGGAGGTTCTGCTCAGACACGTGAAAAGAGAGTTGCAGTTATTTTCAGGATCAGCCAGGCTCCAATTAAAATCTAAGTTTAGGGTGAAAACAGAAACTTAAAGGTCTGAAACCAAAAAATTTCATTGATTTCAGTCTAAAAGAAAAAAAATATCATGAAACATTTGTTCTGATTGGCTGTCTTCTCATCCAATCAGGACGGGCGTCTTCGCACAGGTGATCACATCCTTTGTATTGGGTCGACTCCTACCAGTGGTCTCTCCAGTGACCAGGTGGTCAAGGTGCTGCAGGGCTGTGGAAGTCATGTGACCATGGTGATTGCCAGAGAGCCCCAGGGCCAGAATTCAGGTGCTCCACGCCCCCCGCCTCCTCCTGACTCCTCCCCCATAACCTCATTTCACCTTCTGCCTCCTGAAACACCTCCCCTGCATCAGGCCAGCAAGATGGTGAGCATGCAGGTTAGCTGGTTGTCATGACTACGTAGAGCAGTGTTTCCCAACCTTGGTCCTCAAGGCACACTGTCCTGCATGTTTTCCATGTTGGCCTTTCAAATTCCCGTGTTCCCCTGCTGCCACACACCATTAACAGACATCTGCAACACTTGGTGTCCTCCCAAGGGATCAATGTATATCAGGTGTGCTGAAGCAGAGACGGGGAAAACATGAAGGTCAGTGTGCCATGAGGACCAGGTTTGAGAAACACTGACCAGTTCTTCTGGGTTGTTTCTGGTTTCAGCCAAATCTGGAAGGATACGAGATCCACGAGGTTCCCCTCACCAAGAAGGACGACCAAGGTCTCGGGATCTCCATCGTTGGCTTCAACCCTCTGACAAGTCAGGGTACGACTGGATCAGGGTTTAGATAGAACTGAATCAGAAGTTCTACAGGACCATTTTAGATGTTATACAGCAGTGACTCCCAACCAGAGGTATGTGTACCCCTAGTGGTCTGTGTGCACATTACAGGGGTACGCAGAAACCTGGTAAAAGAAAAAAACATTGTGCTGGAATGTGTTATGCTTAATGAATACTCAAAGTAACGCACAGTAATATATGGTTGATATATTATCAATTATCATTTTAGACCATTTGTGACTGCATGAATGTTGTCAAGCCACATCAGCTTTGGAGGGGCTGCTGTTATACAGGACCATTTCAGGTGTTATACAGGACCATTTCAGGTGTTATACAGGACCATTTCAGGTGTTATACAGGACCATTTCAGGTGTTATACAGGACCATTTCAGGTGTTATACAGGACCATTTCAGGTGTTATACAGGACCATTTCAGGTGTTATACAGGACCATTTCAGGTGTTATACAGGACCATTTCAGGTGTTATACAGGACCATTTCAGGTGTTATACAGGACCATTTCAGGTGTTATACAGGACCATTTCAGGTGTTATACAGGACCATTTCAGGTGTTATACAGGACCAATTCAGGTGTTATACAGGAGCATTTCAGGTGTTATACAGGACCATTTCAGGTGTTATACAGGACCATTTCAGGTGTTATACAGGAGCATTTCAGGTGTTATACAGGACCATTTCAGGTGTTATACAGGACCATTTCAGGTGTTATACAGGACCATTTCAGGTGTTATACAGGACCATTTCAGGTGTTATACAGGACCATTTCAGGTGTTATACAGGACCATTTCAGGTGTTATACAGGAGCATTTCAGGTGTTATACAGGACCATTTCAGGTGTTATACAGGACCATTTCAGGTGTTATACAGGACCATTTCAGGTGTTATACAGGACCATTTCAGGTGTTATACAGGACCATTTCAGGTGTTATACAGGACCATTTCAGGTGTTATACAGGACCATTTCAGGTGTTATACAGGACCATTTCAGGTGTTATACAGGAGCATTTCAGGTGTTATACAGGACCATTTCAGGTGTTATACAGGACCATTTCAGGTGTTATACAGGACCATTTCAGGTGTTATACAGGACCATTTCAGGTGTTATACAGGACCATTTCAGGTGTTGTACAGGACCATTTCAGGTGTTATACAGGACCATTTCAGGTGTTATACAGGAGCATTTCAGGTGTTGTACAGGAGCATTTCAGGTGTTATACAGGAGCATTTCAGGTGTTATACAGGAGCATTTCAGGTGTTATACAGGACCATTTCAGGTGTTATACAGGACCATTTCAGGTGTTATACAGGAGCATTTCAGGTGTTGTACAGGAGCATTTCAGGTGTTATACAGGACCATTTCAGGGGTTATACAGGACCATTTCAGGTGTTAGACAGGACCATTTCAGGTGTTATACAGGAGCATTTCAGGTGTTGTACAGGAGCATTTCAGGTGTTATACAGGACCATTTCAGGTGTTAGACAGGAGCATTTCAGGTGTTATACAGGACCATTGCAGGTGTTATACAGGACCATTTCAGGTGTTATACAGGAGCATTTCAGGTGTTATACAGGACAGTTTCAGGGTTTAAACAGGACCATTTCAGGGTTTATACACGACCGTTTCAGGGTTTATACAGGACCATTTCAGGTGTTATACAGGACCATTTCAGGTGTTATACAGGACCATTTCAGGTGTTATACAGGAGCATTTCAGGTGTTATACAGGACCATTTCAGGTGTTATACAGGAGCATTTCAGGTGTTATACAGGAGCATTTCAGGTGTTATACAGGACCATTTCAGGTGTTATACAGGACCATTGCAGGTGTTATACAGGACCATTTCAGGTGTTATACAGGACCATTTCAGGTGTTGTACAGGAGCATTTCAGGTGTTATACAGGACAGTTTCAGGGTTTAAACAGGACCATTTCAGGGTTTATACACGACCGTTTCAGGGTTTATACACGACCGTTTCAGGGTTTATACAGGACCATTTCAGGGTTTATACAGGACCGTTTCAGGGTTTATACAGGACCGTTTCAGAGGTTATAGACGACCGGACCAGAATCAGACCTTGACACATTTGTGTTTCCATCTCAGATGCTGTGGGTGTTTTTGTTAAAAATGTGGTTCCCGGCAGCGCAGCGGACAGGAGTGGAAACATCCGGGTCCATGACCGACTCATTGCTGTAAGAACAATTCCCATTCTATGCGGTTCTGGTTTCAGATATTTGGTTCTGGTAAAACGATTGTGTCCATCAGAATCGTAATGTGGATCTTTGTTATGTTTTTATCTTCTGGCTGCTGACTTTCCCACTTGTCTCGTCCTCCACTTCCTGAACAGCTGGACGGTGTCAGTCTCCATGGGATGACTAACCAGGAGGTTCTGGAGGTGATGAAGCGGACCAGCCAGACAGTGGTTCTGACTCTGGTCCGAAAGAAGCCCAGAACGTTGGAGAAGTCCCTGGATAAAGGTATCAGAACATTTCTGACCGGTAAATGCTTCCGGCTCTGAGCAGAAGCATCCCGGTTGTATTCTGGTGCTGTTGAGGGATGTTTCCTCCCTTTTGGTTGCTGTGGTAATGAGTGCCATAGATTGGATTTGGGTCATGTGATCAGTGGGGGAACCAGCGTTTGGACCCATAGCCCAAATCACAGGAACCATGTGATCTGGTCTTGGATCGGAACCGAAGCAGATCCACTGTGTGGTCTCTCTTTTGGGTCTGCTTAGAACCTCAGTTCCTTTCAGAGCGACTCAGATGATGGATCTATCTACAGCTGGGTGTGGTTTTCCCAGAATGCTCTCCTCCTCCCCCATCTTCTTTGGAGATGAATTTGCTCTCTTCAGGGTGATTGTTTGTGCTGCGGTGAGCCAGAACCGGGCCGCTGTTAGCAGGAGCTCAGCTCCTATCAGCTCCACGTGTTTTTTTGTTCCATTGCAGAGAAGAAACACTGAGCTGATGTCCTTGAACTGCTTCATATTTAGCAGCAGCATCTGAGGGTCAAAGGCCACAGAGAGAGGCTCTGGGCCGGTTAACACCTCCTCTACATGGACGATATGAAGCTGTACGCCAAGAGTGAGCGAGACATCGCCTCACTGATCCACACCAGCGGACCTACAGCACTGATATCGGAACGTCGTTTGGACTTGAGAAGTGTGGTCGGATGGCGACAGAAAGGGACGGTAGTCCACACAGAAGGGTCTCGCTCCCGGGAGGAACAGTGGCAGACCTTTAGGACCGCTACAAGTACCTCGGTATCCCACAAGCTAATGGCAACCTCGATGAAGCTGCAAGAAAAGGAGCCACAGCCAGATACCTACACATTATTCATGGTTTGGTAGCAAGATGGTCTCCTCATCAGAGTTATTCCAGAGGGATTAGAAGAGGATTAGGAGTACATGGAGCTGGGTTTGTTTTGGCATCATTCATAAACAGTTGTTGTTAAAGGTTTTCATGTAGAAGAATTTAGCACAACACTACGATGATAAAATACTAGCATGTTATCTCTGTGCTGTGGTGCTGTCTGCAGCCTGACCATAATGTTTTTGACTCTAAACGGTTGTTTATTTGGATCATGGGCTGTGGGTTGTAGATTGAAGTTGACAATCTCGTTGTTTGGGAACATTCGGGCTGCTATATTATTTATGTCTTGGCAGGTGTGACATAGAGGTTTCAGAGGACTGCAAGATAGTGCTGGCTCCGTAACTTGAGGTGAATAGTTAACTCCGGACTTGTTCAGAGGAATTGCATCCAGCAGGAAGTAGTGTCTACTATCCCCAAAACAAGTTTAAACTGTCGAAGAAAACGACACTCGTGTCTCTGCCAGATGTTAACGTCATGCCAGGTGTCATGTGTTGTCCTTTAGTGTGATTCGATCCCACTGGTGGTATTAGGGCTATTGGTGGTGGTAGGAGCCCGGCTGCTGCCGGCAGGAGGCTAGCCTCTGTCAATGAAGGTTGCAGCATGGCCAATGCAGGCTGTGGTGGAAGCCCTGCTGCTGCAGATGATGGCAGAAGCCCTGCTGCTGCAGGTGATGGCAGAAGCCCTGCTGCTGCAGGTGATGGCAGAAGCCCTGCTGCTGCAGATGATGGCAGAAGCCCTGCTGCTGCAGGTGATGGCAGAAGCCCTGCTGCTGCAGGTGATGGCAGAAGCCCTGCTGCTGCAGGTGATGGCAGAAGCCCTGCTGCTGCAGATGATGGCAGAAGCCCTGCTGCTGCAGGTGAGGGTAGGAGCCCGGTTGTCATTGGCGGTGGCTGATGCCCAGCTAGTTGTAGATATAGTCCAGTAGCTGTAGTCCAGATACCAGTAGATCAGTGGGTGGTAGCTGTAGTTCCACTGGCTGTAAATAAGGCCCAATTATCTGTGGAAGTAGGCCAGCAAACTGTAGCTGTAAGCCAGCTATAAGTGGGTGTAGCCCAGTCATGGATGGATGTAGCCCGGATAGTTGTGAACAAAATTCAGCTAGTTGAGGATGTAGGCCACCCTGCAGTGTTTGAAACCCAACAAACTGTGGGCATATCCCAACTCGCAGTAAAAGCACTAATGGCAGTTGCTCAGCTAACAGTGGATGCAGTCCAAAAGCAGATGGTTGTAGCCATGCTAGTAGTGGATGTAGCCCTGGTAGCTGTGACAGCAGTCCCATTAACATTGATGGCCCAGGATTTACATCAATATCACCAGCGAGCAGCAAAATCATCAAAAGATGCAGACAGGGTTCGAAATTAACACTCGCCACTCGCCAAATGCGAGCAAATTGCTCCACCTGGCGAGTAAATTTTTGAGCTCTATCTGCCACCTGGCGAGTAAACTTTTGAGCTCTATCTGCCACCTGGCGAGTAAATGTTTGCACCAAATGAGTTATGTTTATCAGTCATCTTCCACGGATGTCTGATCCTCCTCCCGCCTGCATGCAACGTACACAAACGTACGCGAAACGTGAACGCCGCATCCAACGTCATTTCCACCTATCCCATTCAATCATTTTATCAAGTTAGCGGTTAGCTTCGTGTTAAAACTAGCGGTGAAATGTGGCGGTTTTTAACTGGAGTCAGCCAGCCTTCCAAAGGAAAACTCGTCGAACTGGAAGAAAAACCACCAGGACCAGTGGCGACCAGAAGATTTTGTGAAAAGTGGCGAACTGGAGACGGCGGAGTCGTGAGACAATGGCTACATCATGATGGCCACGTAGCGTTGCTGCCTTTCACAGACAACTGTCCCTCGGCATTCTTCAAATATCCAAAAGATGACCGTACTTCCCACTTTGTCTTCTTTGAGGGATAATAAATGTCCCGAGTGCTGTCGTCTCCTCCTGCCATTATTTCAGCTTTAGCTTAAAGAAAGTTTTGGTTGTAAACAACAAAGTGCACATGTGCCGCCGGCAACTTCAGCAGATGATACGGTGGCTGGTAAGGGTCACCGCGCCTACACCGCAGCCGCGGTAACCCACCGAGATAATATATATATATATATATTTTTTTTTTTAAAACAAGACGGTTATTATTATTGTGAACTTTTTTACCGGGGTTTGCCGCTACACCGGTTACCGTGACAACCCTAGCCCTGACACACTTTCAGATCTTCTCATGGTGCAGCTGTGTTCTCCAGAGATCAAGGACTAGGACCCAGATGAGGCTTTGGCACAAAGACGGTGTCAGAAGCAGGAGGCCAGACTTCATGGACAGAGAAAACAAGGAGTCTGACTAGATTTCAATGAAAGAGTTCATAAAAACATCTCTAAAAATAAATAAATAAATAAATAAATAAATAGTAAAAATGACAAAAGAGTTGTTTTTCTTATTAATTGAAGTTTTAATTATTTTGTCTTTCTGTTTGGAATCAACATAACATAGAATAACATGCTTTAGGTAGATCTAAATCATTTAGAGTTTTGGCCGGTAGATTTTCATCATCTACCAGCCAACTTGGCCGGTGAGTCAAACATTTAATTTCGGACCCTGGATGCAGATATGCCTAAAAAGGTTTAGATGATTCTGAATCAGCATGTTTAGCTGGAGGTGGCCTAGCAAGGTCATGATCCAGCACTGCTGTGAAGAGATGTTGACTCTGCTTTGCTAGGTAGAAAATCTGCAGTTTACATATGCATGGTCTTTTAATGCATTTAGAATGCTTTTGTGGCAAACACACAGGACTTGCAAAACTGTGTGACTGCATGATGGTGGCCATCTTGGTTTTCACCCTTCTCCCCTCTCTCAGCTTCCACCAGGTCTGCAGGTTAGATGTCTGAGGTGTGTAGTCGCTCGTAAAAGAGCCGTCGTGTCTGTAATCACTTGCAGCGTCGCAGAGAAGCTTTTTGACTTGATGTCAAAAGGGTAACTGAATTAATCAGGAAGTAATTCCTGTTTTATTAAAACACATTGCTTATACATTTGGCAAATCAGAATTTGACACAAATGAGGGCTTTATACCTCAAAATATACCTCAGCAGGGTTTCCCTCGGCGCTTTATAAGCCTGGCTTTGCTTGGCCACCCGCCAGGCTAAGTGTCATGCCCCGCCCCCTCCCCGACCCTGTCGTGTCCGCTGACAGGAATGGTGCAACGAAACTAGAGCCCTCCATCAGCTGATACTGGTGAGAAACAGCAGAGGAACATGTGCAATCCCCCCCCCCCAGACGGCCGAACCTGCCAGGCTTAACTCATTTTCTGGGGACACCCTGCTCAGAACTCACTCCTTCCTTCAGATACAAGGATGGTTAACTCTGTGTGAATGAGAATGTTTTAAACACTTCAGTGACATGGATGCTTATCTTATTATAGTGTGTATGAGTGCTGATAGGCGCTGGTTAAATCCCACCTACTGATCT